TTGTGAAATGGAAAGCACACCTGAGCCAGTGCTTCATGGGCCCCCCACTGCCTATCAAACTTCTCCATCAATGAGCCCTGAGGACCCTGTGTCTGGGAAGAGGGTACACGCTCCCACTTGACTGGGCTTGGTGTGAGTGGGAGTGAATCTCTTCCTGTCTTGGGTGTGTTGAGTTCACGCAGGCTTTTTGCTCCCTCGGGGTGGGGTGTGGTCTTTGGCTGAAGATGACATGGTTTGGTAGCCTTGAGGATGCTATGTTACTCCTGGGGGAATTCTGTGCCGCTGTGCATGTTCATAATTAATGAGCTGCAAATATTTTTAATTTTTTGCGCAAAAAAAAAATTCTGCAGGAAAGTTGCTGCAGTTCCACCTTTTCCCCCCCACCAGAGGGCTCTGTGGCACTAGATCAGAGCAGCAGCTCCCAGGAGAAAATAACTTCTGCAGTTCCCCCTTTTGCCCACCAGAGGACACTGTGGCACTAGAACACAGTAGTCGCTCCCAGCCAGCTAGGAAGAGAAACAGCCTGCCTTCTTCACAGCACCTGTTGCGCCTGGTCAGGAGACAGGGGCTATGGGGAGACAGACAGGGTCGCCTAAGGGATAGTGGGGGAGAACAGACGGGGGCAGGGCCTGAATGGGAGTGGAGGTGAAGGGCCACATGGGCAGAGGGGGAGGGAAGCACAGAGCTGAGCTACAGGGGGAAGGCGGTGTCTCAGCGGCAGCACAGGGACACATGGGGACAGGAGGAGGTGCAGGGCCAGATGCGGGGAGTGGATGTGAGAGTGGGGGTGAGTGACATGTGGACAGGCAATGCAAGGACACATGGGGATGGGGAAGTGGGTGTCTGAGTAGGGATGCACAGACACATGGGGGTGCAGGGGCAGATCTGCCTGACTGAATGGGAGAGGCTAGGGGTCAGCCACAGTCTGCATGGGGGAACCACCCTAACAGTCTCCCTCCCCCCCCCCAAAAAAAACAACAACCACCACCCTCACCCTGTTCCATACTTTTTCCACCCATACTCAACATTCCTTCAAGTTCACATCCGGGCTCCTTCCCAGCAATTACTTCCCTCTCCCTCAGCTCCTCCATTACTCCTGACTTCCCCATGCCTTTGCACTGCTTCTGAGGGATGTGGGAAATACGGTTCCATATTGTAGTTTATATCAATTATTCACAGTTCTGTATTAATATCCCTAATAAGGAATCTATTTGTCCAAAAAAATTTCGGAATCTTTTTTGTCTATGTTATAGACATACTTGCCAACAGGTATTTTGAAATAAATGACCAAAAAATTGAAGCTGGTGTGATTATATTGTGTTATTTTGACAAACAAAATATGCAGAATTTTGCAGAATTTTAAAATATTGTGCGCAGAATTTTTTATTGCAGTTTTTTTATTTTTTGGCACAGAATTCCCCTAGGAATAACACTCCTCTCTCCTTGAGTCAAGAGTCCCCAGCCCTCCCTCCCAGTATCTAGGGCCCCCAGCTCTCATTCCCAGAAATGGGTTCTGTTCCTTTCCTCCCTGCAAGAGACAGTCTTGCTCCTTGCAACACACCCCTGCAGTTACTTCCTGCCTCCTGCTACAGCTTCTCAGGATCTGCTCTGCCTGAGCCCAGGCTCCCACCAGAGCTCCCTTCCCCAGGGACTATCCCAGGAACCAGTCCCCTCCTCCCTTATTTCTCCAGGTCTCTCCTGAGTTAATCACAAGACCTCCTCAATTTTTATTTGCCCTCCCCACCTGGAGAGGAAAGCTAAACTTGTCTCACACAAACCTTAATTTTTCCAGCTATGGGTCTGATCCTACATGTGAGTAACAGCACTTCCACATGTAACCATCTCCAGGGATGGGCCTAATAGTAACAAAGCAATTATGTTGTGCAAGGTAAACAGACAGTAAATGTAGCTCTGCAGCGACCAGCTTCAGTCATCTTCCTAGATAAAAATGTAAACCTGTCTGAAGAGAAAAATATTTTATAGTTACATATTAGACAAGCTTTTTAATTCACATATTTTAAGCCTGTGACGGTGAAACATTCTATACCTTGGGGAGCATACTGTAACCCCCATATTTCTCATTATCATATAATCATGATCTTACATATAAAACATGCCTTATAAGCTATCAGGGGAAATGTTATGATCTGCTGGAAGTCATTTCTCTATCCATACATGTGTATCATTAATGCATACGAAGTTATGAGAATCATGTCGTATGGGGGTCACTAAAACATGCTGTAAATTGGGGAAATCAACGAGATAGTAGCTGCCCAGAGGCAACAGCAAGGAAAGTAACCAATGCCCAGGCAGGGTGTCAAACAACCCATAAACAGCCACTGTCCAGCAAGGGAGCTACAATGTAATGACTCACCTACATGAGGCCACACCAGAGGAATTGCTCAACCTTGCTTGGAGAGATTAAGCAATGCCCCCCAGACATGTCTGGACTTGTGCTGGGGGTGTAAAACAGAGTGAACACATCATGGGCCCTTCTCCTATCCCCACCTATGCTGGAAGCAACCAAGACACCGAGAAGACGACAAGACTCCAACACAGGAGATTGTTCCTTAAGCCTGGACCAAACCTGTATATTAAGGACTGCAGTATCCAGTGGGGTGAAAAAAACTGCTTAATCTAGTTGTTGTCCAGTCTAATGGGGTTCAGAGTTTAGACTGCATGCTTATATTTTATTTCTTTTGGTAATATAAACTGACTTTCTGCCTATCACTTAAAATCTACCTTTTATAGTCAAATTTGTTTAATTGTTTATCTTTACCAGTGAGTTTGTACAAAGTGTGGGGCAAATCTGCTGCGGTTTGCAAAGGTTGGTGTATGTGCACTTTCCATTGTTGAAGTGGTAAACCAATTAATACATTTGCACTGCCCATCTTGAGTAGGGCAAGATGGTATATTCCTGGGGTACAGTGCTGGGAACTGGGGAGATATGGCTAGTGCCTTTCTCTGGGAGCATTCATGCAAGATAGGTGGGTGTGGGGCTCCACATACAGTTGTGCTGAGTGATCCCAACTCCTGTGGAGCTTGCTGCTGGTCACTAGCAAGGCATTGTGAGAGGCAGCCCAGACAGGTGAGAGTTCAGGGGCACAGTCCCAGGCTGCATCCCTGGGGATCCCATCACAGACAGGGTGCAGTCACTGCTAATGGTGCCTCTTCCTGGTCGCTCTGGGGGACTAGCTCTACAATTGCCATGTCCTCCTCAGCTGGTGTGTCTCTCGCCCTGGAGACCTGTCTCACTCCAGGAACTGCAGCTGCCTCTTCATGACCAGGCCCTGCAGCCAGGTCATCATCCATGTTTCCCCCTTCCAGGGTTACCTAAAGTCCTTCTATGCAAACAGTCTCAGGCAGTCATCTCCTGTACTGCCCTGATGGTGCTGCTTCCCCAACAGACAGTAGGGGAACCTGGGTCTACCCTCTAGTCCAGATTCCAGTCCAGGGACCCTCAACCCAACAGTTCTGGGCTTTACTCTCCCAGCCCTCACTGCTCTTTCCCTAGACTGCTTTCTACAATTCCTACCCCACCCTGGGAGAACCAGTTCCAAGCTCTCCTCCCTAGTAGCGACTCTCCTTACCCAGTAGCAGCCTCCAAACACGCCTCCCTCTTCCCAAGGAATCAGTCTCTGCCTGTTGCCAGCTTTATAGGCCCTGCCCAGCTAAGCCTGCTTGCAATCAATTCCCTGCTCCCTGGCTCTTCTTCCAAGTGCAACCTGTGGAGTTAATAGACCTGGCTAGTTACCTAAACCCACCCACTTCCCGGGTTTCCAATAAGACCACAAAGCTTCACATTGGATGCCAGTTAAATATAGGATAATTACTGTTTGAGATTTACAAACATTAAAGAGCTTTGGTTATTGCTTGAAAACAAGTTAAATTTGACATGCATTTTATAAACAATAGATTAATAACTTGGAGCTTCCCTGAAAGTTTTATTAATTGGGGCATAAATAATTAACAATCAAAGCCAGCATCTTCACTTTCTACATTATCCTGAATAATGAGGATTTTTCGCTGCATATTTATATATTCACTATGAAACAAGTGACTATGTTCTTATAGAGCAGTTGTAAGCTTTGCCACAGGAATAAGGCTATTGAAAAAGAAAAGCAAACAGCATGAGGCAGTGAAGTAGCTACCTGCTCTGTAAAACGTCCATCTCACACACAACCTACTAGTAAATAACTAATGGAAAAGATTCTCTGTTACTTAATTTATAATTGGGGATGACAACACACTTTCCTTTGAATCTGTGAATGAAAAGCCCTCCACAGGGGCAGCCATTTTGATTATGCTAGCACATGACCCCAATTCCCACACACACACCTTTGAAGGCTAGCTGCTTTAGTGCAATTAGAAGCATTAAATATTAATTAACAGTTACTGGAAAACTTGATTCTGCTGCAGACTTTCTGCAATCCCATAAGCATGTTGCTTTTCAGCTTATACCTGTAAACAGGCTGGAAGCTTGACACAGCAGCAAAAGCAGAACAGGCCTACACTGCAGTGTGGAAGGGGAAACTGAGACACACGGCCTCATGGCATTGGTGGCTAAATGCCAAGACTCCTACACTTTAACCGATGGTGCTATCTGCATTCTGTTAACATTACTACATCCCAACATGTTTTCAGACACCCAGGGACCAGGAACCCAGAACTTTGCTAAAACACATCTGAAGCACTTAGAGGAGAGGAAAGTGATCAGGAACAGTCAGCATGGATTCACCAAGGGCAAGTCATGCATGACTAACCTAATTGCCTTCTATGAAGAGATAATTGGGTCTGTGGATGAGGGAAAAGCAGTGGATGTGTTATTCCTTGACTTTAGCAAAGCTTTTGATATGGTCTCCCACAGTATTCTTGCCAGCAAGTTAAAGAAGCATGGGCTGGATGAATGGACTATACGGTAGATAGAAAGCTGGCTAGATCGTCGGACTCAACAGGTATTGATCAACGGCTCCATGTCTAGTTGGCAGCCCGTTTCAAGCAGAGTGCCCCAAGGGTCGGTCCTGGGGCCGGTTTTGCTCAATATCTTCATTAATGATCTGGAGGATGGGGTGACTGCACTCTCAGCTAGTCTGCAGATGACACCAAACTGGGAGGAGTGGTAGATACGCTGGAGGGTAGGGATAGGATACAGAGGGACCTAGACAAATTAGGTCTGTGTTTGTAGCAGGCTAGTGTATCTGGCACAACAAGGCAGGGTACTGAAGTCCCAAGCTGCCAGGGAAAACAGGCTCAGAGGTAGTCCCAGCACATCAGGTGGCAGCTCCCAAGGGGGTTTCTGTGACCCAACCTGTCACACCCTCATCTGAGCCATTCCTGCTAGGTGACAAATCTGAGGAACTATCCCAGACTGAGGTGTCAACAGAGGATGTTTTGGAACAAATTGATTAATTACATTTAATTAAATAGTAATAAGTTACCAGGATCTGATAGTATTCACCCAAGAGTTCTGAAGGAACTCATATACGAAATGGCATAAATGCTAACTGTGGTATGTAATGGAAGGCCCTCACATACATTTTGGACTGCCACTGCACAATGATCAGGCAGTCCCTGCATACTTTGCTGAGTTGCAAGGCGTATCTGCCTTCTCTCAATGGGTCAATTGTATAGCTGATGGTCCTTGATGGGCCATCAAGCAGGCTAAGCAGAGCTAACACCAACTTGTCTGGGATGTCACCCAGAAGCATAGCATAAGTTTAAAATACCGATAGTATAGAGCCAATATTCATAACTTCAACTACAAAATTGATACACACATATAGACAGCATAATCATAACCATCAACCCATAACCTGGTCTTAGCCACCTCATTTGACCCCCTTTATACAAGATTTGGTGCCACTACAGGACTTTGGTTGCAACCATGTTCTATATGGTCCCAGTTCAAGTCAATAATGTCACAGAGGTATATAAGTCCTAGGATGATCAAGGCTTTGTTCCCTGTGGCCTGGGGAAAGGTTACTACAGGGTAATTGGAGCACCTGGAGCCAATTCAGGCCACACCCAAGACCTAATAAAATACCCCTGCTTCAGTCAGACAGGGAGAGGAAAGAAGAGCTGACTAGAGTTTAGAGGAGTATTGCTGTTAGCTAGAGGACCTGGGGAACCCTGCCCAAGCAGAGCAGAGGGACTCCCTGGCACAAAGGATTGAGGGAAACTCTATCCAAGGGGAGAGAGGGTAAGCAGCCTGAAAAGCTGAAGGGGCTAGGGACACTATACCTGCTTGTCCTGACTAATAACCGTTGACGGACCTATCCCCCATTAATTTGTCTAGTTCTTTTTTGAACCCCATTTTAGTCTTGGCCTTCACAACATTCTCTAGTGAGGAGTTACAGCCTTAATCCCACAGAGCCCCGTAGCAAACGAGGAAGCACACGGCCTGTGAAGAGAACTACAGCCAATACAGATGAGGAATTCCAAGCACTGACGGCTTACCTACAGCCAATTATGTGAGAGGCAAAAAGCTGAGGACTTTCATGTCTCCTTAGAAGGATGTCCAGGCTGATCAGGTCCACTTCTGCCAGTTTCTCCATCAGCTGCTGCTCCTGGACAATTCCTCTGAAAGCGCCAACCATGAGCTATGACTACACATAGTGCATGAAATCTTGCCTGCCTGCCTTACTCTCCCATCCCATGTACATCAGTCCCACTTCAACAGAGACAGTCAACACCCACAGTCACCGCTCCATTCTAGCGCCCACTGCCCAGCATGATTTTCGTCCCCTCCTACTTATTCATGGCTCCTGAGACATACTCTGGGGGGATGCACCCCTAGCACTCCTGCCCATGTGCTATGAAGGGAGACAGCACAAGGACAGGCAAGGATAGAGAGAGGGTGTGTGTTGGCCAACATACTAGAGGAGAGCGAGAGAGAGAGAAACATGGGAGGAAGGCAAGGAACTCACCCCCTGGAGTCATCCTCCTGGAACAGACCTTCTGCTGCATAGGATACACTGGTCCTGGCCACAGAACTGAGCAGCCCCTGAAAATGAGGACCTTGTCTCTCTTATAACCACAGCTAGTCAAAAACATTTTCTTACAAACACAGCCCCAGCAAACAGGGCGTCCTTACCAGGAGCAAGGTGGGCCTTGAGCAGAACCCTCACCAAACCAGAAACTTATCTCACTGACAGTGGTGGCTGCTCCGCTCCCAACTGGACAGCTTTTCCGTGGCATCAATAATTCTCGTGGTCCCATCGCTCTCGCTCGCTTTCCATCGCATGAGGGCAGTAGACTCTGACGCGTGACTTCTTTTCCCTTGGTACTAGACCCAGGACAATGGGAAAAAACAAACAAGTTACCATCTCAGTTGGCAACGGCTCGTAGGCTCTTCTTTTCACCTCTCCCACACGGCAGGGCTCCGCCCTCAATCCTCTTCCCATTAGACCTTTAGCATTACCACCAAAAAACAGCCCTGGCCCCTCCCCAGCGTTAATACCACAGAGCCGTACCCAGAGAGGAAGCACACTGCCTGTGAAGAATATTGCAGCGAGTACAGATGAAGAATTCAAAGCACTGACTGCTTACTCACAGCCAGTTAAAGGGGAGGCAGAAAGCTGAGGTACTGTTCATAGAATCATACACTATCAGGGTTGGAAGGGACCTCAGGAGGTCATCTAGTCCAACCCCCTGCTCAAAGCAGGACCAAATCCCAACTAAATCATCCCAGCCAGGGCTTTGTCAAGCCTGACCTTAAAAGCCTGACCTCCAAGGAAGGAGATTCCACCACCTCCCTAGGTAACCCATTCCAGTGCTTCACCACCCTCCTAGTGAAAAAGTTTTTCCTAATATCCAACCTAAACCTCCCCCACTGCAACTTGAGACCATTACTCCTTGTTCTGTCATCAGA